CAGATATAAAAATATTTATATTTATATAATTGATTATATTTCCTTCTCTTATCTTTCTATCCCAACCGATTGGACGGTTCTCCTCCTTCTCATTTTACCAATTCAGTATATGTATTATTTTGTTGAGAATAATTTTTTAATAAAATAGAAAATAAATTTATCCAAAGACAAATAATTTTTTTACAGATATAAAAAAAAATATATTTATATAATTGATTATATTTCTTTCTCTCCTCTTTCTATCATAACCGACTACCTATTCGACGGTTCTCCTCCTTCTCATCCGAACACTCTTTCTATCCTAACCGACTACCTATTCGACGGTTCTCCTCCTTCTCATCCGAACAATTCAGTCTATGTATCATTTTGTAGGAAATCAGTTTTTAATAACATAGAAAGAAAATTTTCCAATGAAAAATATAATATAAAAACATATTTTGAAAAAATAAAATATATTTTTTTAAATTGATTGGTTGCACAAATATAAAAAATATATATATTTATATGATTGATTATATTTCTTTCTCTCATTTTTCTATCCCAACCGACTGGACGTTCTCCTCTTTCTCATCTGACCAATTCAGTATATATATATTATTTTGTAGAGAATCATTTTTTAATAAAATAGAAAAAAAATTATCCAAACAAAAATAGTAATTTTTTAAAAAAAATTGGTTGGTTGCACAGATATAAAAATATATATATTTATATAATTGATTATATTTCTTTCTCTCCTCTTTCTATGTCAACCGACTAGAGAGTTCTCCTCCTTCTCATCCGACCAATTCAATATATATATCATTTTGTAGAGAATGATTTTTTAATAAAATAAAAAAAAAATTATCCAATGAAAAATATTTTTTTAAAAAAAAATTGGTTGGTTGCACAGATATAAAAAATATATATATTTATATAATTGATTATATTTCTTCCTCTCCTATTTCTATGGCAACCGACTGGACCGTTCTCCTCCTTCCCATCCGACCAATTTAGTATATATATCATTTTGTAGAGAATATTTTTTTAATAAAATAGAAAAAAAAATTATCCAAAGAAAAATATTGTTTTAAAAAAATTAGTTGGCTGCACAGATATAAATAATATATATTTATATAATTTATTATATTTTTTTCTCTCCTTTTTCTATCCCAACCGAATGGACGGTTCTCCTTATTGTCATCCGACCAATTCAGTATATATATCATTTTGTAGAGAATAATTTTTTAATAAAATAGAAAAATATTATCCAAAGAAAAATATATATTTTTTTAAAAAATTGGCTGGTTTCACATATATATAAAAAAAATATTTATATAATTTATTATATTTCTTTCTCTCCTCTTTATATCCTAACTGACAGTTCTCCTCCTTCTCATCCAACCGATTCAGTATATATATCATTTTGTAGAGAAATTTTTTTTAATAAAATAAAAAAAATTATCCAAAGAAAAGTATAATATAAAAAAATATTTTGAAAAAAGAAAATTATAATATTGATATATATATAGAACATCATAAGTAGTACTTTAATTATACTAGATAATTACAAATAATTGTAATTACATTATTGGTCTTTTTTGGGGGGATAAAAGTAATAATATGATAATAAATTAAAGTATTTATATAAAAAAAACATCTGTAATGAAATGATTACTTTGTAAGTGGACGTTCCAAAATACAACTATATATAAATTCTAACTTCACGATAGGCCTACCGACCGCAAAAAACACTTCCTGAAACATAAACCGACCTTGCACATACCAATCTTCAACCGAACGGATTCCTGCTGTCACTCCCTTCCCAACTGGTCGGCTACTATCTCTCATATTTTCTTATCACTCCTCTCCCAACTGGTCAGCTGTTATCTCTCCTATTTCCTTATCACTCCCTTCCCAACTGGTCGGCCGCTATCTCATCTGACAGATCCCGCCACTACAAATATCTATATTTTTTGTTTATCTATAACTTACTTATAACAATATGTTAAACATAATCAACTTGAATGACAGGTTACTCTATCACCGTGCAGGGACTTAGTTATTCTCCTCGATTCAATCAAACGAATAAAATATAACTAAACCATTTCATAAAATCATAATTTCAAGTGTTTAAAACATGATATTACTCTATTACAACTTTTCTTTAAATTATTATTAAAATTTGTACATTTGGTATATTTTATTTCGTAATTAATTTTTTTTAATTATAAACATTTCTAATATAATATAACAAATTTAATCCATTTTATTAACCTTATGTTGGAACTAAGCTGTTTTCAGTGTACTGAAATCTAAAACACACTCAATATTTAGAATAACATAGATTACATATAAATTAGATATTTTTCCGTTGATTAAAATACACAACATAACAACTTCTTCCTTACAAAAAAACGAAACAAACAAACGAGTGGCGCAGCGTATCGCGCTTTCACGAGTACTAGTATATATATATATGTGAGTTATGGAACCATTCTCATATAGGGTCCAATTACCAAACATAAAAATAATTTTTCATATAGTTTTATTAGAGAGTACAATCTAAGCGAAAGAAATTCAGCCTTTAAGTTTCCATTTTATATATTGATCAACAATATATTTATGTAAAAGATGGTCGGAGTGCAATAAGATACTACAATATACAGGATGAATTTGTAAGCGGTAACAAAAATATTCTCAAATTGAGGCATGACTTTTATCCCTTCTTTTCTTTAGACCCTACAAAAAGAACAAAAGACATACATACATTAATCATCACAAGGAAAATAAGGAAGAACATAAAGAAGTGCAACGAAGACTCTTAGACAAGATTTTATTATGGGGTGTGTAATCTTCATTTGTAGTGAGATTTGAGTAAAAACGCGCTAGCTGATTCTTCAGGTAAAACAGTCGCAACAGCCCTTTTGTTTTAAGATGCCTACATGCCATCCAGGTTGGCCATACGTATGAATTAAAAGATATTGAAGCGGATCAGAAGCTAAGAAAAATGTGAAACTTTTGTAGGATTTCCTTGAATGGGATAAAGTTGAATATCACGATCAACATCCACTTGATGATCTTGGCCAGCTTGCCAGATAATCAAAATATCCTTAATTGTAGGACGATTGTAATTTCTTTGCTCAAGACAATAAGTCATGTTTTAAGAAGATCTGAATTATCCACACAAGACATTGTTCATAACTTTCTAAAAAAGAAGCATATGAATTGAATGTTGATAAAGACATAAGAATTCCGATGTGATCCCGGTGCAAAGTTGGATAGTTTTCAATACGAGCCTGAAATTCGGTAGTATGGTCATGATAGTAAAGTTGAACATTTTTATGTACACTTGTTTCCGATGTCAATGAGTTAATATAGTGATGCATTGTTCTATTAATTTAGAAAATATACAAGTTTTGTTCATTACGACATAACGGAATGTTATGTTTCACTCCAAATGTAGAAAAATCAAATGAATTGTTGTATGTACGAATATATGTCATACGATTATTCGACATTGGATGTTTAAAAAGAATTAGATCCTTTAGGACATCATGTACCTCCGGCGGCACCAAAAAAAACTTTCACCCCCACAAGAAAATATTTCGATCTCCCAGTAGAAAAGGATTGCTGCACAATGTCTGCAAGAGGTACAGAGGGGGGCATCCATGCCGCCGATGCTACACATTTTGTAAACTTCTTGCACGCGGCATCAAGCTGAAAATCCTTTTAAAAAATTAGAATACATATCAGGGATGCATTTGTTAAATGTGTTTTCCTTATATCTTCCAAAAAACATTGAGCAGTAGCTAAGAAGCATATTTACAATTAATGGGAAAATAAAACAGAAATCCAAATAACAGTCAACCATCAAACCTTCCTTTTCCAACTGAGAAGGCATGCCGAGCAAAAAAGGAGCAATTGGGAAAACCTCTCTTTTATATTTATTTTTACAAAAATATAACATTTATGTGAAAGCCCACACTTTGCTGTAGAGAAAAACAAAAATGAAAGATCAGCCCTCACAACAAATAGAATGAGTGTAGAGAACACTATCTGGGATGCAATGAAAATTTTATAGGACGAAGACTCCATCATAAGACAGGGAACTAAGATTGGGTTTTGTAATGTACCCCCAAACACCGGCAAAGAGTAGAGAACCAGATGGATGTCCCTAAACTGCCCTTTTAGGCAATCTCCCACAATTAACCGACATGTAGACATACCAAATGACCGACCAACAAGTGCCAATAAAATGACAAACGGATGACCAACCACAACCATACGTCAAGCCCTGATGGGCAGATGCCCGACACTTTAGGGTAACTACATGTCTTAGAATTAGTTATAAGGTATCCTCCTAATGCAAAAATTGACATTCTCCCATAATTGATCGACCACAACGATACATCAGACTGGATCCATGTCTTTGCATCGGTTATCATGCATCCTCCCAATGTAAAACAAGGCGGGGCATCGTACACTATCGAAAACAAGGCTCTTTAACGAATACGTGGCTTTATTTAACCCACGGAAAACCTCCGTAAATTTTTTCGGATTTCCTACCTTATTTTTTCCTTCTTTGTATTTTGAAAATATCTAAAAAAAAAATAAAAAATCTTGCAATTTTTTATATTTTCATATTAAAGAAAAAAATAATTTCCTAAAAAATTATATACATTTATATAGTTTATATATTCTGTTTAAATTTAAAATAATAAATCAATGAATATACATGAATATCAATAAACTTTCTACATTTTAGACGAGAGAGAGAAGTAAAGCCGGGTCATTGGTACCGACAAGAAGGAAATGACATATTTGGACAAACTTATTTGCACATACCCACAACCTAACAGAGAGATAAACAGAAAAAAGACCCTCACAAACAACAATGACAAAAAAGATATATCATATAGCTACATACCACTAGAGTGGTATATATAAGAGTTTAGATATGAATGCCATACCTACCTGTTGGCTTGGTTTGGCTGTTTGTTTGTATGCATCGTATCAATCAATAAATCAATCATCAATCATATCATCTATCTATCTTCACTATTGATAATCATCTTTTTCCATTCCATCAAAACTCCCTCCCTCGCTCCATCAGCTGTTGTTTGTCTTTATTTCATAACCTACATATGCTAATACATCATAGGATAGGATAGGATAGCATATTATTCTCATGTTTTGATCACCCCCTTCACCCTTCACCCATGCCCATACCATTATTATTACTATTATTACTATTAGCTTATACCACCGCCCGCTGTATCAGCGACAGACAATTGGTCACACACCACCGCAGCTAGTTGAATAAGTCCAAGTCGAGTAAGAGGTCCTATTTATTACTTACTCTTCATGTCCGCGATCTCGGCCATCAGTGTCAGCATATGTACGAATGGGGGATCCAGTACAACGCATTGTTGTGTTGGCTGTTTTTTTGTTTTTTTAATCAACTCACCATAGAGGGTTTGCTTGAAGAAGAAGAAGAAGAAGAAGAAGAAGAAGAAGAAGAATTCAGCAATGGTGTCCCAACATAAACAAGAAGACCCAAAACCAGGATGGCAGCACCAGCTATGAAGCCTGGAGGTAGCGATGACGACACCCCAAGATATGGCAGCGGCAATGTGAACAAGTATACAGATATAGGGACTGCAAATTAAAGCAAGCAGCGAATTAAGATTTCATTAACTCCAATAACATGAACCAAAGCACAAAGCATAAACTAAACAGATTGTAAATCTAACTTTAAAGAGACAAGTTCCAGCACAGAAACCAACCTGTAAGTGTTGACGCCAGGCAAGACACCACTGCGGAGGAGACTTTCAGAAGATGCAACAACGATATGTTGTAGCCCATGTTGACAAGGACAAATAGTAGGGGGAGTAAAGGTGCACCGTCACAACCTGTGTTAATATATATTTATGTTAATTAGAACATTTATATATATATATAGTAAGTATTACATCAAACTAAGTTAATGATCTATTTCTTGTCATTTTGTGTACCCATAAAACATTCTTGGTCCTGAGAAAAAAGACTGAGTGCTGTAATAGACTGTGGAAATACCCCCAGTCACGATGATCTAAGTCGTTGCTGGGTTCAGCTCTACAACTACACTCACAAAGACGAGAAGCAATCAAGAATGGGCCATGAGTTACCTTTTATCATGGTGCCGGTATTCAAAAAACAGGCAGCACCATCTTTAAGATAGTTTAGAAGTTGGCAGAATGGAATGCCCCACAGGTTTGATAAAAATGGGAGAAGGAGGCCTATGAAAATGGCCTGTTTGTGCATTAATAATAGGTTTCAGGATACAAATAAAATTGAAGCATTTTATAGATCAGCTAAACTTTATAAATATAAAGCTTAGATACCAACCTGGTAAGCAGATCCATAGGAGTTTACAACGAATAGGTCAAGTGTACCTCCCTGCCATGTCAACAAAATCAGCAAATGTAAATAGTTGTCATTTTGAAAGGTCTTTGTGATTTGTTTTTCCCCAAATAGGCAATAATATATATAACAGTATGCCCATGCATATCCTACTAAACTTTCACAAGGCTCAGGTTAGGCTTTTGGTTTGATTAGGATGGAGTCGCAAAATGACTACAAGTGTTGATTTGTGACTTCTGTTTTTTAACCATTTTACCAATCGCAAGCCATCTATAGATTTTCTAATATCGCATTAAGATTGCAACATACCTACCTGTAATCTTTTGGCAGCATCCACAAATATGATCTCCTGTAAACAAGAAATAATCAGATAAAGAATCTACGGAAACAAGATTGGGGATCACTTCAATACCCCAGGAAAGCTTTCTACCTTCAAGACTGTATCAGCAGCTTGTAAAAGGAAAGAAATAGTCATCAAAATACTCCAAAATATACCAGCTTCCAACAGAGAACCGGTACCTGATCCACTGCAATTGAAAAAGATTAGGCAATAGAAATACAACTGCATTTGAAAAAGATTAGGCAATAGAAATACAACTGAGATGAGCTCTCGTGACAATAATCACTCGTAAGTGCTACATTGTTAGTAAAGCTACTCACAAGTACTAAAAAATGATAATTGATCTGGAAAAGGTGCCTAATGTAACAACACAATGCTATATGGTTGCTGATGACAGAATGATGATTGTAGTCTATTACCATACACAAGGGACAGCATATCTTCTTTCCAAGTATCTAAGACCATGACCATTTTATTACACCCTTGCAACTGCTGAGGAAAACGTGTGCTCAAAAGTTCTATATTTGATTTAATTTTTTTTATTTTTTATTTTTTTTTAATTTTTACAGGAAAGAAGTCAGACTATCAAATAGAAATTTATTACATGTTAACATTGAGTTGTTAACAAGGTTGAATTAACTAAGCTACCAGGAGAATCCTGAAGGTTGTTGCCTATATTCTCTTCAGTCATTGGAGATCAAACTCTTGTCAAGTATGTCTGTATTTTTGGGTGTAAATTTCTATCAAAGTTGTGTAGAGAAAAAAAAAATCTTATATGTTTTCATTATATCAATATAACAAGGAGCGTGACTATTTATAGGCTGAATACAATCAATTAGAATAACTTATGTATGGCAACTGCTACTATCAATGGCAATAAAACACAAATCATTAACATATACATCTCAAGTATCAATCATAATGCTCTATGTGTAGTAAAAATAATTCTTCTATCACAATAAAATCACAAACCACTACACCATATACACCTACAAGATGAAAAGCTAAGAGGCCACGTAGGCCAAGAAAAGGAATTTACCTTGCAACAGTTATTATAACCCCAACTGCCACAAGAAAGCAACCAAATAATTGGTTGAGCTGATATTTTTTCCCGAGGAAGATGGAGGAAAGGACAAGTTGCCATACTAAGAAGCTCTGCACAAGTCAGAATATAACAACATTAAAACATGCAGGTAGGACCACTTTTGAAGTAAGCTAAGAAAATCTTTTACTTCCCGTTTTACACATTAAGTGATCTTTTTAAATACTAAGAGTATCTCTATTAAACACAATTTCTTTCTCTATACTCTACCGTCTACCATAGTCAAAACACAATGAAACTAAGACCCCAACAGGATAGTCATATAGACCTTACAAAATTTTAGTTTTGTAATCCGTAAATTTAATTTTATAAACAGTACAATTGTACGGAATTTAAATTTCACATAAACTTTTATAAAAGCATGCGATATGTGTAGCACAAAAATTCTTATAATAAAACTCTCAAAATTTTTCCATTTATTATTTACGTATCATATTCATTGGGGGGACCCAACATATGAGAGCCCGTTTTTGCAATCTAAAGTTGATATGATAAGAGAAAAAATCAATTGGCGTGTTTTTACCTGAGATAGTACGGGAATTGCAGGCCCCGAAAGAATAGCTGTTATTATGTATGGAGCAACATTAAAATGGATTAGGGCAGAATAATTCAAGTTAATTACTGTATACTTTGCATATTAAAAGTTTGAAACTGTTAACAAAATTTTAGGTCATCATTTCTCAAAAATCACACAAAACTGGAAATCTAAACCACTAACAAGTTTCAACCTTCCACAAATGTTGGGTATCCGATAAATCTGTCACAATCTGTACACTAAAACGTAACATCTTCATGCAGTTTTCTCACATGCTAAAAAAGAAGCCATTCTTAAGAAGTTCCCGCAAAGCCTAAAAGAACTAAAGCTTCTTGAAATCTCGTGGCTGGTTGCAGTGAAGACATTTGAATATCATTCTACCTCATTTCCAGATTCGAATTTAGCAACAAATAATACAGCTACAAGCATTATATGGTGATCTAAAAATTCTAATGCTGATATCATTACTCGCTATAATCTAGCAGGAAAATCAAGAAAGCTGCAGAATGAATTACCTCCTGCTGCCATACCGGAGGCAGCAGCTAGAGCCTCCAACAAGCCAATAGCAACCAATGGTGACTTTGGCAATGACAGCATTTCATTAGTAACCTTTCCGGCATGATATCGAAGATACAAAATGGTGAAGTATACAATTACATATCTGTGAGAAAGGTTAATAGATCAAAGTGGAATTCAAGAACATTTCGTGTTCCTTAACAAAATTAATATCAACACCCATCACATTTATCAGTGAAACAGCAAAACGGAAGATAATGTAGAAACAAATTTATACACGAGTCAATGGTGCAGAATGCAGATACACAACCTTCCTGCTACTCCTGGTTTGTATATAAAAACATTAAATATGAAGTCTCATTAACTTAGTAATCTAATCATAGAATCAAGCATCTAACATAGAGTTAACACTAACAACACCTGGTGGAGTACCGAGCTGCTTTAGCACTAGTCAAAGGTAAAAATGTGAATCAGTATTTCCCCACAAAATTTAAAAGAGTCGAAAGAAAGCTGGTGACACACAGTACGAATTGAAATGAGTGTATTCTAATAGATACAAGGGGAAGACAAATGCCTTCTTTAGCAAAAGGCAGGTATGACCAATCAGTTTTTGATTAATTGGAGTTGCACATACTTTATTCTCATTAGTTAAACTTTCGTATTCCAATTAACTTTTCCAGAATAAAATTTACAGTTGAGTCCTTGAAACGGAAAGATCCAATGGCCAGCATTTCTCTGAGCAGCACATGACATACAGCTTGCGAATGTACATGATGACAAGGAGATCCAAAAGGAAACAACAGCAGCTGGTTTGGTGGGTTCCATTGCTCCCACCATCAATGGCTCTTGTTCAACTGGGACCTTAACTAAATTTCAACCTACCAAAAAATAAAGGCCCTATCTTTCTACATAGATAGCTAACTCTTCTTTAAGAAGGTGAACTTTTACTAAAACGAAAGGCATCTATTCGAGTGAAAAATAAAAAATAAAGTAAAATAACCACCCACCAAATTTGAATTGCAGCTTACAATCAAGCACTAATCGCCGTACAATGCACTCAATGACTATAGTCAATGCTAATCCAACTTCAGCGGTACAGTAGTCGTAGACAATAACAAATTACTGAAACAAAAGCAACTTGGCGGCACGCCTGCCAATGTGGACGGCGTCCAAGTGACCAAAGAGAAATTGATGACGTCAATCCTACGGCCCGCCCCACAATTCAATTCCCCCATCTCACGAGTGATTCATTCTTTGGAGCTGTGGTGTTGGAATCCCAGGAGCTCACAACACAAGAATCATTATTCAAAACTTTCGTCTTCTTCTTGGACACTCCCCAATTTGGTGTCTAAACTCTAATTACGATGCTCCATTGCTAGCACGAAATGGCAATTATACTCGCACACAATGGTTCAAATATTTCCATCTTCAATTTCAACGATGGCTACTGCGTTAGCTTGCCGATTCTCAATTGTGTTCGAAAATGAATTTTCTTCAATTTTCACCGGTCGGACTCTAATAGACAAATCTGGAAAACGATCTTATCCAATTTTGTCTATCGTTTTTTCCAGATTTAATAATCAGAACAAATCTGTCTAGCACAGTCAGAGAAATCGACCTTGCCGAGTATAGACTAACATTTTCTATTCAAATCAAAACATCTATTGCAGTTTAAATTCAATCTTTCAGATTGAGATAGAGGCAAAAAAGGACACGAAACCGAAAAAAATGTCGTGGAAGTTACCCGAAAGTGGCGAGCTGTGCGAGGAAGAAGGGGTACTGTTTGAGAGGTATTAATGCCAGCTTGTACAACACTCGATTCCCCACTCCAAGCACGACAGTAGCCACCGCCGCAACCAGCACTTCCACCTTCCGTCCAACTTCTTCCCCATTCCCATCCGCCACCGCCTCTCGATCGTACGAACACAACAGAGCAGGCTTTTCCCCGCTCTTCTTAATCTCATCCTTCTCCTCTTCTCCCCGGGGAACCGCCGCCGCAGCCTCGATCACCAACCGCCTCGAGCGCAGCACCACCCGCCCACCGCCTTTCCCCGGACGATTGACATGCAAAGATTTGATAGGCAGCGGTCGAATGTGACGAACCACCATCTCCGGAGCCGCGGTGATCGCCGTCCGGCGAGCACATGCTGCCATAGCTGGATTTGAATGTTTTATGAAAGGGCGGTGATTCGGAGCGGAGTCGAGAGAGAGAGATTGAAGAGGATTTTGTGGGTATTTATTTAGTCGACCGAGTGCAGGAAAATCCGATGTGTCGGTCAACATCATCATAACCACACCATTCTCCAAGTTTTTATTTATTTATTTTCTCTTAATGAAAAATTTTATTCTTTCCGTCGTATAAATTTATACCCTATTTAATCGGACAACTATGTTAAAAAAACAAAGGGAATAAAAATATAACTTCTCTTTTTTTAACATAAAAAAAAGTAAAGTGAAAATAAGTTTAAATTAGAGAAGGAAGATGGAGTATTTACTACTTTACAAATAGTATACATATATTTGTTTTTATTTGGCGATTTCGTTTTCAGACTTCGGCAATGTTCAGATAATGCTTTTATGTATTTTGGCGTGTCAATATAAAAGGCGTAGGGCTTGGGGGTCTCCAATTTATTGTCCCATTTTTACCGTAAAAATGTAGTTACAAAAATTTTAATTTAATCAAAAATTTTAATTTTTACTTTAAAAAATACATTTTCCATATATATATATATATTATTATTATGTTATAGTATAACATGTTATATTTATAATTACACACATCCTTAATTTTTATTATTTTAATTTTATTAGTTTACATAATTATATAATGTATATTAATATATAGTATTGTCAATTTAAAATAAATTTAAATTTAAATACAAATATATATATTCAATAATTATTTAACATATATACATACATATTATATATATATTTTTAAAAATATATATATATAATAATTATTTTCAAATAAAAAAATTTTATAATAATTTTCAAAAATAAAATTATATATAGAATTTAAAAAATAAAATTTATATTATTTTAAAAAAATAATAAAATTATAAAATACACACAAATCCAAAAATAAAGTTGTGATACGAATGGGGTTGGGTGGGGAATCCCTTACGCTCAATTGTTTGTTTATGTTTTGCCTTTTGGTAAGAATAAATAAATATTTTTTTTATTTAAATTTAATATAAAATAATAGTATTTTATTAATTATTGGAAGTTTATAAAATATTTTTAATATTTTTATTTTTAAAAATATTAAAATATAAATATTTTTTGAAAATTGAAATATTGTGATATCTATAGAATTATTTTTACTTGAGAAATAGAGTAAATATTAATAATATAATATTATTATAAATAAATAAAAAAAGTTATCTTAAAATTATTTTCAATATATTTTTTATTTTTATTTTTAATCGTACCATTTTTTTAATACAATAATAATATATGTAAAGAGTGTGTTTGCTTTGTATTTTAAAACTAAAATTACATTACTCATATTATAATTTTTCATAAAAATATATTATTTTTTATAAAATATTAAATGAAAATTCAATTAAAAGATGAACAAACCCAAAATTTATATAAACATGCAAGTTGGATGTATTGTTTTTATGAAAATTAGAGATTTGCTTACTTAGGCAGTTGATATATCATATTTTAGTTTTAAATTTTTATTTAAATAATAGTTAAAAATAATATTATACTATATAAAAAAAAGTAGAATCTTTTTGTTATATTATTATAGAGATAATCAATAAAAATATTAATTATCTATATTGTTATCCACTACTTTATATATTGTATACTCCCTCTGTCTCGGTCCAAATGGATCATTTGGAGTTTTGTAGTAGATTAAGAAATAATACTCTCTCTATCCACTTACAATGTTTACATTTTATTTTGGGACGTCCAATTACAAAGTTAACATTTCATTAAATACCCTACTTTTTTCCACAAATATCTTTACTTTACATCACATCATTACTTTTACACAGAAAAAAGTAAGGGCAAAAATATCATTACACTACTTTTAACTACTCACTATAATTAAAATACTATTATTTCTTAATACCGCGCCAAAAGTAAATGTCAACCTTCTAAGTGGACGGAGGGAGTAGTATTTTATTAATTAGTGGAAGTGTTTAATAAAAGGTTTTGATATTTTTGTCCTTTGACTTTATATAAAAAGTAATTGTATGTGTAATGATATGCTTGTAATTTATGTAAAAGTTAAAGGTATTTTGATATTGGTGTATGTTTACTTTTACTAAAATTGGAAATTGATGGTTTGAAATTGAACGGACGAAAATGATAAAAATGGTACTTTGAGTTACGACGGATAAACTATAGTATATATTATATGTAATCGAATATAGTAGCCTTTATATATAACGTGATGTGCGGGTATGAATATATAGTAGATGTATAAATATATATGTTATGTATATATGTATCTATGTATGAGGTGATGGTGATAGTGATTGCGATTGTGATTGTAATAGAATATGTAATAAACGTTTACATGGAGAAGCGTGAGATAAAGAGAGATGAGAGATGTGTAAAATTAATTTGATGCAAGTGATTTCATACTACTTTAAAGTATAAGTATTGTCTATTTATATAGTCATGCAAATAACACTTAATGAAATATAAAACATTCATGTTTCACATGTGTTTGAATATATGTGTATCCGACGTGTACATTTTTGTAACATTTCCTCTTGAATTCTTTTTGTCTAAAAAGTGTGTTTTGATAAAATTTTACTAAAAGAGAATCATTTGGGAAAAAAATCATAATTAAAGAAAAATAGTACAATATTCTTTTGCTTATTTACTCCATTTGTTCTGAGTATTATTCGAAATTCCTTAACGATGCATTCCAATTTTTTTTACTAATTTTTCAAATGTTGCAGTCGATAATGTTTTGATTAATATATCTGCTAAATTATTATATGATCGAATTTTTTGCAAATCAATTTTACCATTTTGTTCTATATCATGAGTGAAAAAGAATTTTGTGAAATGTGTTTCATTTTATCTCCCTTAATGTAACCCTCTTTCCATTGGGCTATATAAGCCGTATTATCTTCATAAGTGTAGTTGGAAGAACTTTATCTTCAAGTATTAACATGCAATTTTTCAGGATATGTTGAGTTATTGACCACAACCAAACACATTATCAACTAGCTTCATTTATAACCAATATTTCAGCATGATTTGAAGAAGTAGCAATTTGAGTTTGTTTCATTGATCTCCAAAAGATCACAGTTTCACCACAAGTAAAATATATAGCCAGTTTGTGACTTGGCTTTATGAGGATAATATAAATATCCTGAATCGGCAAAACTAATCATTTCATGTCGATAATCTTTCAAGTAAACTAACCTGAGATCAATTGTTCTTTGAAGATAACGAAAAATGTGCTTAATCTTATTCAAATATCGTCAAGTAGGCGATGAACTATATCTTACCAATAAATTTACAGTAAATGATATATCAGGTCAGGTGTTGTTAACAAGGTACAACAATGAGTCTATACCACTCAAATATAGCACTTCATGACCAAGTGTTTATTCATTTTCCTCTTTTGGTTTAAATTGATCTTTTATTGAATCGAGTGCTCTGACGACCATTGGGGTACTTAGCGGATGCGATTTTTATCCATCAGAAATTGTTTTAAATTCTTTTGGTATAATTTGATTGGTGGATAAAGATCTCACTTCCAAGTGCTCAAATTTCATACTAAGGCAAAATTTAATTTCTCAAAATCTTTGATCTCAAACTCCTTTTTTTCAGATATTCAACAACTTTCTGGATTTCATCAAGATTTTCAATTAAATTGAGATCATCGACATATACACCGATGATTTTTTTTTTTATTTGGATGATTCAGGTATGTTAAACCCTTATGAGATTTTCATATAGATATCATTGTGTAACGATGCATAAAGATAGATAGTAATCATATTCATTAATCGTATATCAAAATTATTGTATACTGACAAGCTCACCAGGTACTTAAATGTTATTCTATCCATGACCGACAAATATGTTTCTTCAAAATCAATGTCCGGTATGTGAGAAAAATCATAGGCTACAAGTCTTGCTTTATATATTGTGATATCATTATTTTTATTTTTTTTCCTTTCAAACACCCCCACTTGTAGCCAACATGTTTCATATTTTTCGGTGTTTGGACTATGGGGTCGAATACTTTTTGTTTATTAAATTAGTCCAATTCAGATTGAATTGCATCTTTCCATTCTGGCCAGTCATCTCTTTTATGATATTCATCAACTGATTTTGGTTCATAATATTCGTTATTTTTCATTATATCGAGTGCTATAAAATGTGAAAAATCATTATCAATATTTGTTTTCTTTCGGTTCCAATATTTTTCACTAGTTGTATAGTTAACTGAGGTGTCAATGACTTTATTCTCACTTTCATCAGAATTTTTAGTATTAACCTTTTCAGGGGTTGTATTGACCTTTTTAGTTATTTGATCATTATTGTTCTCTTTACCAGTACACAATTTTTTTTCTTTCGTGAATTTTCATCCTTGGAACCCAATGTTCTGTCACATTTTACACAGGTAGTATGTTGATTAGCACTCGATATTTTCCCTTTTGGGATATTTATTTTAGCTGTTGCATTTGTTGTTGCAATATATGATTTTGTGACTCTAATTCTAGCAGTATCATTAAAAGTATCAAGCAATTGATTTCTAATTTTCTAAAAATGCACAATTCTTTGAACTTTAAGTTCACTATATTTCGTACGAGAATCACCAAAGCCAAGTGGTATTTTTTACAAAATTTATTTTCTAAGTTGATTAATGTCTCTCCCTAATGTCGGAAAATGAGAGCTATCAAAATGACACTCTGCAAACCTTGGAGTAAATAAATCACGCGTTGTTGGTTAAAGATATTTCGTAATCGAGGATGATTCATACCCGACATATATACCCAACCTTCTTTGAGATCTCATTTTTGTGCGTTGAGGTGGCACAATTGGCAAATAAACAGCACACCAAAAAATTCGTAGGTAAGATATATTTGGTACTTTTCCAGATACCAATTGAGTAGAGAAATAAAAATGATAACTTGTCGGTTTTATTTTCACGAGGGTTGTTGCGTGCAATATGGCATGACCCCAAGCTGTTATGGGAAGTTTAACCCTCATTAACAATAATTTAACAATTAATTATAATATTTTGATAAGCGATTTGGCAAGACCATTTTGCGTATGTACATGAGAAACGGGATGTTCC